TGCACTTTGGTTTTAATAGTTTTACAAAGTATTTGCATTTAAAATATATGCGTTATTCTAGTGGAGATATGACAGTCGCAGAAAATACAGAAAGATTATGATACTATTTTACCAATATGATAGAAAAGCTTACTTATGTTTTGCTGCACGTGGCATAATCATAGATAATCTAAAGTGGCATGCTTGCATTGAGATAGCGGCAAGTGTTTTAAGTACGATAAGTGCATGTAATGTCTTTTGTTCTTATTACGTTTTATCATGAAAATTGGAAGAAATCCTAAGAAGGTAACAATTGGACCTCAAATGTTCATACGCACTTCCATTTTCCCAAATTATTTTATATAAATCGGGAAACAGAAAGGTAGTTTGCACTAGTCTGGACGATATTGAAATATCAATGTAAATTATTACGTCTATGACACATATGCTATAAAATGTGCATGATATCATAGTTCCAGATTTAATTCAGACCCAACTCAGACACAGTGTTAACGTGTGAACTCGTATTAATGTGAAGTGTAATACTTTTCCTCAACTTATTTATACAATTCCATGAAAGCCTCCAATTTGAACAAAGTTTTCCTTCCTTCACATCAGACCTAAGATAGAACATTATCGAACCTTGACACATGATATTTTTCTTACATATAATTAAATTTTATTATTGCAGTGTAACGATGATATATTTTTATCGTACAAGAAATATCTAAAAGACTTGATCGTGTTATCACCTTTGTAGATGCTCAAATCGATTGTAGTAGCAATATCGAAATGATATTGATATTTTGATGTATCGAAGATATTGCTCAATCAAAGATTAATAGTCAGGATTAATTGTAATAAGATTTGCAAGGTGATTTATTTTTGTCAAAATTTTATTTCAAGTTGCATCATATGAATCCACATTTGATAAGTCAAATGAATGTGATGGTAACAATGTTCTCCATCCGATATATTGTTATTCAAAGTACAGTAAATCCTCCCTAAATGACGCTCAGATTGTACACAAAAATGAACAATTTGGGAAGAGGAGATACGATTATTCAAGCCTTGCGGCTCATTTTTATAGTTATCAATTGTCAACGACTATAAAAAGGAGACACAAAGCACGAATAATCGTACCTCCTCTTCCCAAATTGTCCATTTTTGTGTACAATCTGAGCGTCAATTAGAGAGAATTTACTGTATTCTTATATGATGAAGGCTTCTCGACTGAAACATTTTACGTGTAAACGAAATTATAGCTTATAGAGATTGAATGAAAGTGGTATCAAAATCATATCGGTGCTGATAGATTGAAATTTGTTAACCGAATACCATGTTGTTAGTGTGAACTCTGTTGACTGATTATAAAAAGCATTCTTAAGCTACAATTGTAATTCTTGTGACGTCATATCAAATAATGCAAGGAACTTAATTTCGCATGTAATTACAGTGGTTCTCACCGATAGCGTCCGAATGGTCAAAATATCGATATATCATCAATATATCGACATTACCAATAATTCTATCAATAATCAGCAGTCGCAACTCTAGCCGAAATTTCTCTAATCGATCCACCACACATCCAGTTACACGAAACGCCGCACCGCGCCGCGCCATCCACGAGTGCACTCACCTCGACGTCATGTCAGCCAGTTTCGTGACGCGGTAACGAAAGCGTCAATAAAAAAGTGCAACAACACGCGTCACGATAAAACCCACGGGATTCTCGTATTGCTTGTCGTTCGTTGTCGGTCGCTGCTTGTTGGTCGTTTTACGGTAGACGTGAGAGGTGAGGTCGTCGCAACGCAGCACATCGTTCGGTTAATCGTGGAACGCGAGAGATTCCCCGGTTCAAGGAGTTCTCCAGTGACGTCACGCGGACGATCGGCCCCAAACACCTCGTCCAATGACGGCGCGGCGCAGGCTGGTGGGGTTCCGGTTTCGTCTGCACGCGCTATAAAGCCTCACTAATTGCCCACGCCGAGAACAGTCCGTGCGTGCCCCTTTTTAAACGACGATGTAGTGCGGCGTCCGAAAAGTCCGGGGATCTCGCGCATACACGTCGGCCAAGATCACTGTCACGATCGAGATCGAGCACGTGTACCGTTTACGAAGCCACGGCTCGCACTGTCGCACCCGCATACAGGGAATCTTCTTAGCCGTGTGTCCACAGACTGGATAACTCGGAGTATAGCCACGCAGGAAAGATCTCCGGTATTCCGTGACCGATCCTCGGCTTCTCGTCGATCTTCCGTTCGATCGAAGTGAAGAGAATCGTTCTGTTCCTCGGTGGATTTTATTTTCGTTCCTTCGGATTAAGCAGGAGTGAAACATCGTGACGTGATACGGGACTCTGAAAAGGTAAATCGCGAATACAAAACGTACGATGTGGTTTCAATCTCGCGGACATGATACGCCTTTTCGGGGATAAGAATACATTTTCTTTTTTAGAGATAATTTTCGATTGATTTTTGGTAGAAGAGACCTGAAGTCGTAATAGTATCCAGCTTATTCGCGTTATTATACTTCAAATATGACATTTCTGTATCGCTTCTGCGATATTGTTCTTTCGATAACCAACAGTAGAAACACTCATTCTTCCATCAACATTTCGATGTTCCGCGGTACAAAGTTTTGAGCAACTTGCCTTTGCTAATTTCAGAGTGACCTTTCTAAATCTTTTATTAATTTTCTAATGTATTCATTCCGACGTCAATGGTCATCGGCAAGGAAAGGCAATCAACTTATTTCTCGTTTGTCGTGTCGAGTGAATTGACTTGTCTTACTGATATTAGGCTGCGATATACTAGCAGGAATGAAAATTAAGTTAATAGTAACCGAGACTAGAAATATATTAAATAAACTTTGATAAGCAAAGTGCTGTCTCCGTTTTGCTGCGTGTTTAACGTTTCTGATCATGGAAAACGTTCTAGTACTTTCATGTACGTTCTTGGACAAAACACAAAAAAAATGTTCTTCTTGTGCAAAACACAAAAAAAAAGTCTAGTGAGAATAATAGCGCCTTGATAAGTGATGTACGGATTCTCAGTGAGTGCCGTATTTACATCCTTTTAATAACATCTGGATTTGTCAGTTTATGTTCTTGTAGCATTCGTGAATTAATACAACGGAGTAAATAAGCAGCTCACATTATTCTTTGAGACATTTTGATACCTCGTCGTTTGAAATATAAATGGTTTCAAAAAGACTTATCTTTTTTTCAGAGTGTAACTTATCTTTTCTCACAGTAGTGTTAAGAAATTCCCGAAACGGTAGGATAATCGTGAAATAACATTCAGCACATTTAAGTCTCACTTTTCTTGAATCATGTACATCTTAATAAAATTGCTAGTTCGGTAAACACAGAAGCAATTTAGTTATCGCCTTATGCGAGTAATTAAAGATGAACAAAGGATCTAGTGAATGAGAACTGTGACGAAGAGTTCATTGATCACCTAAAATCTAAGAAGAGATCGACATTGTGACTACTAAAGCAATACTAAAACTCTACCAATTGACTTCGTGCTCAGTTGTCGACACTGACAATTAATCACAAATGTCTTGTTTTCATTTTTCTGTTTTTCTTTTTACCTGCACACGACATAATGCAGGTGAAACTGAATCCAATCGATAATCCGTTTTTCATTGTGATCCAGATGGTATATTTATTTAGACCGTTTACGAAATTTTGTCGGTTACCATGGTTATGAATTGCTCGTCGAATTTGTATCCTTTGTTTTAGTTCCATTCGCAATCTGTTACAAAGCAAGAATAGACAAGTTGCTTTTTCCGTGACATATGAACAACGGTACGTTGTAAATATTTTAAGCGTGACACGTTTTATCGTGCATTCTACGCTAGACCTTTTATTTACAACTTGTTGCGCTATTATCGCCAGGTCTGTCCGAGTTTTCTTGTTTACAGAAACTCACAAAGTTTGTTTTACATTAGGAATTTACAAAATTGCTTTTTGTTATTTCCACGTTCGGTGAAACTGGACGACGTTAATATCCGCAAACAGTGAAATGTTTCGTTACTTCCTAAGCTCGTGATTACACGCCTGTTTTAGGGTAAACACCTAAATAAAACGTCGAAATATTTCTGAACTGCGGTGTGCATGTGATCGTAATAAGATTTGGCCGATCTATTGATACATATTCGTATGAATCTTAATGGTACTTGCTTCTTCTAATTGAGACCAAATGGTAGAAAAGACAGGGAAACCCTGGGAAATCGTATGCAAAATCATGGATTTGTGCTGCGACCGTGCTATTAATTATTGTTTCTTCGGGAGAGAGCTGTTCAAGGTGCCGAGTTCTGTGTAACCAGTTGCCGAAGGTATACTAGTTCGCGTAAGTGCACGCTACAATGTGTTCCGTAGTTGAAACGGAAGTAAATAATCCGATCGATGCGTGACACGATTACTATCATTCTACTGTACTTCAATCTGTTCTTGTCACGCTTCTAATTCAAAAGTGAACAAAGAACAGGGGTTCAGTTCTGTCTGAAACAATTATGAAGAACCTGAAAGATCTCATAATTGTTGTAAGGTGTATCGGTTTTGGATTATATCGATCTTGGAACTGAAAGATAACAGAAATCGAAACATAACTGTTTCAAGAGCCGAGACCGGTATCGTAACTGTTTTTGACCCCTGATAAAGAATGTCAATTTCTTAACGTTTCCAATCGATCGATCGATGACTTATGAATGGTAATTACGAAAACATTCTGGTTTCATCTGAATTGTAATGAATTCAGGAGAATATATAAAACTCTGTCTGGGTTAAACCATTTGATAAAACTATTATGAATACGAAATTACAAAAATGACATTTTCATATCAATTCCTTACAGCAGGGGTGTCAAACTCCAAAGCTAACTTGGGCCAAATAAACAATGCTTAACTTTAGGTGGGCCGCAAAAAAAAATCAATGTTCATAGAAACAAATATTTTTATTTTGACTGGTACATTGTAATAAACATATATCAAGTTAAATTATTGTTTACGTCCTGATACTTGACATCTCTTCTCTGATACTGTATTTCGTATTTCGGGAGAAATTTTATTGGTCGAGACTACTTCCAAAATTTCTAGTTCACATTTCTATTTTATTTTTACTTTGCGTCGGATATATTGACTGGGCCGCAAAAATGTTCATCTCGGGCCGCGAGTTTGACACCCCTGCCTTACAGCAATATTGAATTGATATATCTATTAATAGCATTGACATAACAATAGAAAGTCAGCAGTGGGATTCCAAAAATATGAAGATTTACGTTCTAGTGCTTTATGTAGAAAGAAAACTTACGTTTCGTAGCTTAGCATGTCGCACATTCAGTGCTCGAATTCGATGCTACTGCTTTTTGTATGCAAGAACAAATTCTTTGGTCGCTCACCTCTTTCATTTGCCATGATAAAAACAATTGTAAATATTTTAAATATTACTTTAAAAACTCGATCTCTCTAAAATCATATGTACATTCGACCGTCAGAAGCACGCGTGGAGTCTAAAATAGTGTCGACTATTTGCTATATACTATTTAAAATAATACAATATTTCGCTCAGCTTCGGTCAATGATAATTACCCATACTACGTTACTAATTACAGAGAAAAATTACATTGTCAGATGAATGTGTCCGAACGACAAACTAGGGAAATCCGTCTCCGTTACCTTTCGCTTGTCGCACGTGCGTCGTCATGGGACGCGCGGAACGTGTACTTTATGCAAATATTCACTGGGTCCGTAGAAAATGGATACTGGTACTGTATTATGTCACGGTCGCGTCGTTTTCTTTTACGCCCATTGTTGCTTCTGTTTCTATCCATCATTTGAAACGCCGATCCTGACTCCCATGTTTGTAAACAGTCACAAGTTCCGTCAGGTGAGAAGAACCTTAGGATATTTTCGTTTCGACGAATTAATCGTCAACTGACTGAACGACAAAAGAAATTTAACGAAGTGACAATCGATACTATATGCTCATCATTGATGAACTTATTTCGTTGGTTTCTTATACCCGTTTCTCTCAATTTTGTTTTTACTAAGTTTTATTAGGTTGTTTCAATAACAAAGACGTTAGCAACGCTGTTCGGGCAATAGCCCGAACATTTCTAGTTCATTGATTGGTTATTAAAAGCAGTTACAGTTTTTATAGTTTTATTCAGTTAGAAAGATTGGATAAAGTTTGTAATATTGTATAGTATAATATTATATATAGTATATATATATTGTATAGTATGGGAAATGAGACTTACTTCTTTCGGTGTCGGAGTTTTCACACTTCACTGTAGTGTCTTAGATGGTGTTTGATTGAGTTGCATTATTTGTACATTGACGATTTCAATGTTTTTAGAATATAGGAGTGGGTTAGGGCTGTGCAGCCTATTCTAATTTCATCGATTGCTGCTAGAATGGTGCCGTTTGAAGTAGTAACTCGATTGAATCGTGGTCATGCAATTAGCAGCTGGATAGTACAAATGTTTCCGTTTTGTGTTTGTGGATAAAAACGAGCGTGCAAAAGAGATTTCTCTTTGGGAGTAAAAAGGAAGTTTCTTAAGGACAAATGTGATAGGAAAAAACGCATAATTAGCGTTGAATTAGAAACTGGATTATCGATACACCAATTGCTTTCTTGGCTCCTTTTCAGACAGTCATTAGATCGACCTTTACATATATACAGTTACTTACAAAATTGAGTGTATACTTTTTAAAACGCAATAACTTTTTTAAAACTGGACTAAGGGGCTTGAATTTTTCTTAGATGATAGTGGGACTGGTCTACTAGACGATGACCAAAATGCTCTTTTAAATTTTGCTGTCACTTGGAATGACAAAAAAAAAATAAAAAAAACTCTTATTTTTAACTTTTTTATCTGAGCCTATAATGGAAATTTAAAAAATCCCTCTCGTAGATCTCCATAACTTATATGCATGCTGAACATTTTATCGAAATCAGTTGACATTGTTATGAGTTACAACAAATTAAAGATGGCAAAAGTCGCAGTTTTATCACGATTTTGACCAGAAACTGGAAGAAATCTGCAGTCTTTAAAATCTTTCAACACCTGTAGATAGGTTAGGTAAACCGATTTCGATCAAATTTTCAACACGCATATAAGTTACCGAGATCTACGAAAGGCATTTTTTAAATTTTTGTTATATATATAAAAAAGTTAAAAAGCGAAATTTCTTACTTTTTTGTCATCCCAAGTAATAACAAAATTTAAGAAAGGCTTTTTAGTCATCATCTAGTAGATTAGTCCCTCTATCATCTAAACAAAATTCAAATCACTTTTCGTCCAATTGTAGTTCAGTTTTAAAAAAGTTATTGCGTTTTAAAAGGTATTATACTGTTTACATCCTTTTCTTCGATGAATTATTGCAAAACTGTGAACCATATATTTTGTTTTGAACGTACATGTTCCTTGTACCATAAGTAGTACAATGTTTAAAAAAAAGGAATTGCTAATTGACAGGATTAAATGTTATAATCTGTGCATAATTTATTGGGCTCGTTTCTTATCATTGGATACATCTAGATCCGACTGACTTAGAATAGAAACCTGATTGGAGTTAATGGAAAATAAATTACTGATTCGATCTGACAAGTAAGTGTTGTAAGATCAAATAAATCTTACGAATCGGATGTTTTTTCAAGAAAGATATACGTACTTATACAATGTGTACTTAATAACAAGGCTCAGATACATATCTTTGTCAGTTACCTTTCGAATTCGAGTTTACTTTGACATTGATCGCTAACAAACTGCTCGAGATACATTCTATTCACTTAATCAATTATCTTCTCTTTCAATGACAAAGTTAACGTTTTAATTTTTTCTTCCTTTTTTATTGGGTATGCGATATAACGGTACTACTCACTGCACATTGCTGTGAAATGAATGGATTGAAAACCGACGTTCCCTTGTTATGTCTTTGAAGCTTTAAGAGATGCGTCATATATAAAAATTATTAACTATTACTTATTTGAAATACTGCTTAACCCTCGTCTGGCGGACTCAGGGTCCATGCGGACCCCTACAATGTTTACGTTTACGTATACTACGAAATCCAGATTTGGGTCTGCATGTACCCTGAGTCCGCCGTGGGAGAGTTAATAGAATTAATATCGACTCACAGAAATTACACAAAATCAGTCAAATACAAAAATCAAAGGAATTAATGAAGGGCTTCGATGAAAATAATATCACACAAAATGAAGCGCTACGCAAAATTACTTTTTACAATTATTAACGTCTACTACCTAAAATTTAAATATATAATAAATGCTCCGACTAATCATCAAAATTATCGAGACGGTTTTTTGGAACATTACCTTGTCTACGAATTCTTGTGATATTATTTTTGTTATTAAAATCATACTCTTTTTTTCTCAATTTTAAAGCGTCTTCTCGGCATATATATTACCAATTTTCACACGTAATTCGCACTGTTTTTTCCAAGAATTTGACTGCACAGCTGTGTTTCTTTAGTCATCTTCAAAGGAAACTTTAATTGTTTCAGAGAAGTTAGCATGTAATTAATTGCTTTTCCTCTCCATCGCCGACACTGTATGCAGATAAACATGCGATTAGATAATATGTCGAAATTCGCATGCCAACAATAGTATTCATTGTAATTCTATTCTATTTCTTCTTTGCCACCGAGGCTTGCCATGAACCGAATCTGACATCGCGCTTCGCGTCTTGTATAATTGCAATGAAGTAATCGTGCATCGTTAATTTCCAGAGATCGAGATAATGACAGTCATGGTGGAGCCCATGAAAGTTGAGGAGGGCGAACGTCCGAAGATCACAGCCTTCGACGACATCCTCCCATACGTCGGCGAGGCAAGCCGCTACCAATTGTTCCTTTTCATCCTGCTACTGCCCTTCACCTTCGTGTACGCGTTCCTCTACTTCACGCAGTTCTTCATCACATTGCAGCCGGCGGAACATTGGTGTACTGTGCCGGCACTCGACGACTGGAATCTCACAGATCATGAAAAGTGAGCGAACAATCCTCAATTTCAAACCATAACGGAAAAAGGAACCATTAATCCTTTGTCATACTTTGATGAGTCTGATTCGTGATAGAGATTTCTAGAAATTATCTGTCATGTATGAATGATTTTAATGATTTTAAGTCGGAATAAAATTCTGTTCCATTCTCATCAATATATATATATATAAATTGTCTTTTTCCTCTAAGGAATGATTACAATCCAAAATGTTCGAATTATTGTAACCGTGAAGAAATTAATGTGACAAGGTGTTGAACTCTAGTATTTTTCTTCTTAGTATTTCATAATTTGTCATAACATTATCTCCATACGACACTTAACAATCTCTTTAAAATAGGTGTGGAAATACTACAATCGTTCTTACAATTACTAATTAATTTTGATACCGGTCATGAATATACCGTAAAGCAGCAGAAGCGTAAAGTGCAAAAGTCAATGTCGAGTCTAGCTCAATACAAGACCACAAGGGGTTAATATCTAGACACCTAACATATTCAATCAACACGAACAGCGAATTCATATTATACAATAAATAATACTCAGAATTGAAGGAATGCAGGTTCAGTAGTTTGGCAACTTCAGGAGTAATTATAGTAATTCGTGTAATTTAAGGAATTCAGATAATTCGAGTAATTTTAGTAAACCCACAAAGCTACATCCTGCTGGGAAAACCTGCATAAATCTAGAGATTCGTCACAAGAAAATAAAGTGACGCAAATTCCACTCAAGTTTGCGCTACAACAGATAAATCAGGAATGCTTTGTCACATTTGATTACTTTGATACCTATTTGTTTATTCTTTTTCCACTGTGTGTATATGGTCTCCGGATTGTCTCCACGTTATCTCTGCACTATATATATATAGATATTCGAAAGTGGATTACACCAAGTTGTAGGAAACCGTGTTAAATAAACCTGTATTATACGCGATAATCTAATTTGAGCTAGTTACGAAAGTGGAGCTAGTGCATAATCTATAATTTATAATTACATTAAAGGTGTTCACTGAATCTTTGAAATTTTCGGAAGCGAACTTTAAACTACATTAAAAGGTTATGAAAAATGTGACAATAGATTACAGGTAACAAAGAAATTATAATTACACGTTCATAAAATGGTGAAGGCTATTATTGTTAATATCGAACAAATCTTACCGAAAGATATCCTACACGGAATAAGTTGAACAAGCCGCGCAAGGACATTCGTCAGTCTTTTTCTTTATGTCAAGGTTATGTCAAGGTGATGTCAAGGTTATGTCAAGGTTATGTCAAGGTTATGTCAAGGTTATGTCAAGGTGAGAAAAAGACGACCGCTGTTCACACAAATTAATATTAATCCCTCAATGTGTCCGTAATTGCTGATGAATTTTTCTTTTAAGCAGCGATAATGTTTGTGTCGATCGAGAAATTTATTAAAAGTCACAATTTTTCTTATATCTTTCACATAAGCGTACAGTGAATTTATTCGATCTCAGCTGCGTGAACAGAGAATTTGATTAGTACTAAATTTCATTCAGTAATCCTTATCTATGATTATTTTTTTAATTTACGAGTTATTTATCGTGCAGTATTATCCAACAACAAATATAACAATGATTTGATATTTACAATTCATCGTCTTCGATGTTTATTTCCGATTTATGGTAAAGATATTTATACAAACTCAATTCAACAAGCTTAATTTATGATACGTAAACCGATGGAGGCGAAGTATTCATATATTGTGAGATGCGCGCATCTATTTTGTCCTACAAATCAATCACTTTAGAACGTTTCATATTTCAATACGAACGACAATAAAAACACAAACTTATAGTAGCACTTAAATTTTGTTAAGCAAAAATTGTATCCCCTCTGGCCATTCATAAAAACGATTGATTTATAGTAGAAAAACAATTGCAATGTATCGATGAACATTGTCTCCTGTTGACGTTGACGTTTATCATATGTATGCTAAATACGCACGCATATCTTTCCTATAGTTGGAAGCAAACGTTTATTTACAGCTAGGTTATAAATATAGATGGATAAGCTAATCAAAAGTGTTCCCGAACTGAATTGATTTTCTCATTCATACTATTGAATAGATCATTCAACTAGAACCCTTTCTGGCAAATATCAAAGTGGTGCACCCATCACAAGATTAGATACAGGATAAAGCTGGATTAACAGATTAAACTGTTCCTTTTGTCCTGCTTAACGGACAATCATTAAAAAATCACGATGATGAACAAAATCCAAAATTCAGACTTGGGTTTAAAGTTGCTAATTTTATATTGAATTTACTAAGTGATGACGTTTATATTTTCGCCGTAGTAGTATCTTCTTCTAGTTATGGATGTCTATTTTTATAATTTTTAAGAGTGAGTGAACGCAGTTGAAGAAGATGATTTAAAAATGCCGAAGATTCGAGAAACAAAAAGCATATTTCTTATTTTGTTTTCCTTAAACATATATTTTAAAAATACCTTTGTCGCTAGAACTCTACAATCCTTAAATGCGACTAATATATATTGTTTTAATACAATGACAAAATCAGATTTAAGATTAGACTAAAGAGATTTCATAATTTCTGCAACTGTAAATGAAGATATCAGAACTAAGTCATTTTGAGCCAATCCAGTAGTTCTGTATTAAGGAGTTTTAGTAATATTTTCTGCACAAGTGCATACCTAAATAACATACTACATACGTGAAATGTGAATAAAATTAAAAGAAAAAACATATCCGTATCGTACAACTGACATATTTAAATTATTATTGCCAAAATATCATACCCAAGAACTAAATACGTATTGGGCGCCTATTTCAATGCTTCACTGTAACTGTACCTGAAATTGCATGCAAGAACAATTTATCGAATAAAGCGTATCTTTTGTTTTGATTTTATTTATGTTACTTATCGTTTTATTTTTTACAATATACAATAACATAAGAATAGTCTCAGAAATGGTTCGCCATTCAGATCCTTATTTAAAATTCTTGTTTCATCGTGTGCACAGCTCATTCGTGTGACAAGACTATAAAAGTCTTCTATATTAAGCTAACGGCATGTAGAATCAGTATCAGCAGTATACATATGTGTCGACGTACAAACGGCAGCATTTCCGTATTCTTCTTACGAGATAATTGAAACTGATAATTAAGAAGTTAATCGACTCGAAGCCATAAAATCTTAATGAGCCACACTATCGCGTTCTCTGGTTACTGATAAATCACGATTGGCGACAGTTAGCTCACGAAACTTGTGACGTCATTCAAACGCAACAGCAGGAAAACCGCGACTCGTGCTGTCCACTGATCCACGGTGCAGAAAAGCGCGGGAACAGCAATTTCTTCGGTAGACACGACACGACGCGCGAGGCGATGGCATGTTGGAAACCTGTTTGGTCGCCATTCTCCTCCCAGGCAGATTCTAAACTTCTGCGAACCGACCGACCAGGAAATTCTTTACTATTCTCAGCATCGTATCCTCCAGCGTCCATATCGAAGGCACATTAAAGCGAGTCGCCGCGCCAGTAAGCGGAATCGCCGATACGTTTATTGTTGAAATAACACCAAAGGAATGTTATAAAATCAAAGCATTTTATTTGAATAAGGAACGCCATCCTCGAAGATTCGTGATCGAAGAACATGATCTAAAGGAAACGCTTTTAAACATACAAATCAACATTTTTATCATATAATATTTCGCAACTTGATAAAATTGACCAGGTGATATTCATTCACCTGCAAATGATAAAAGTGAGATTGCACATTTAATTCGTGCTTCATGGAATTGATACAGAATGTTTTCATTTTATGTAAAAATTCATAACGCTATTATTAACCTCCCGCCATTTTTCTGACAATTCGCGTATACTATAGCGATTAAACTTCCTCGATTTCGAATGAAATAAGTTCGGTGGGACATTTTTAACTTCTAAACAAATGCGAAACAAATGCTGTTTCGTTATACGAAGAAGCTGTTAGTCATAATTCCTACGTCAGTCAGTACAAACCATTTAGGTGGTATCGATCATGGTCTTTTTCATGATTGAATGCAAGTAGCATGCAACGCCGAGTATCTTGTTTATCGAGTGTCATACTAATCGTTCATAATGTAATTATAAATCCGATCGCAGTCTCAATATTAGACAATGTTTTTCTAACTAGCGAATAAGTTTTATTAGTTGCGTGAATACATAATAATGATATTTTTATTAATTGTGAAAACAAATTCGAAAGTCGAAAATAAAAGCCATCCTAAGGTACATACATACATATATACATTAAAACTTATACATATAGCATATTACGAAGATGGTAATATCAATTGAAATATATTAGTTATCAAATATTACGTTACATAATAATGATATTTTTATTAATTGTGAAAACAAATTCGAAAGTCGAAAATAAAAGCCATCCTAAGATACATACATACATATATACATTAAAACTTGTACATATAGCATATTACGAAGATGGTAATATCAATTAAAATATATTAGTTATCAAATATTACGTAATATTATTGGAAACGTTTGTGTAGAAATTATTATTTTAAGTAAACTTCGTTCTGCTACCTATTCGATTAGTACAATGTTAGCTGTAACTTTCATTTAAAAAATAGGTGGATACACGAAGCAATAAAATCTCGATTTTCTCTTAGGATCGCGTTGTCCATACCTCCAGCATCGGTAGAAGAATTGAAAGCGGAAGGTGCTACAACGTTTTCCCGATGCAAAATGTACGATGTGAACTATCAGGATTTGTTGAATCAGGGTGTCAGGAATTCAGATCCATCTTGGCCCATTAAACCGTGTCAGAATGGATGGACTTTCAATCACACGATGATACCGTACAAGTCTATCGCCGTTGAGGTGAGTGGATATCGATACAATATTCTTCATTGAACTGAATGCGCATCTTTCTCGCAGTATTGCTATTTCTCAAAATTACTTTCAATTCGAAAACATTTACGATCAAAATGCAAAGAAATATCGAGACCTCATATTTTCCAATATCTTTCTAATAGTTACCTTATAGTTACCTTATAGTTAGTCATTTGCGACTAATTGTAGATGAAATAAGACGAAACATTGAAATGATCAAATAAGTGATCTGCAAAAACGGGAATTTACATAAAGGTAGCAATAAAATAATGAATTCATTATTTCTTAGAATAGATTGTACATAGAAATGATTGAAACTTTACAATACTTTATGTTCACTTCTTTAAGTGCATAATAAAACACAATAAATAAGTATAGCAATGTAAACAACAAATAAAGCAATGTCTCGTGGAGTACAATTGTACGATCACAAGAACCATCTCAATCATTATTTAAGGTGACATTACACAAATAACAAACTTATAACAACGTGAACTATTATTTGTCAATGCATAAATTCATTAAAGCTGTAAATACTCATTTGCAAGAAAATGTGAGAAAAACTATTGCAATATACCTTCTTTAATTACATAATTATTAGAAATAATAGTCCGCATGTGCGTGTACTAATAATTGTACTACATATCGTTTTTTGATAGTACATCGATCGAGATCAAGACATTCCAAATCAGCGAAACTTCGAGGCAATGTTTATAGCTAAAAATACAGACCTTTCAAATTGTATTATTATAGGAATCAAAATAGGAATCAAACATAGAGTTAGTACCTTTGTTAGCGTAGCGTTGCCATTATACGAACTCGGTGTTTGGTTACCGATTAGTCAGTATTTTTCATTAAGATCACGTCAACAGAGCAATAATCAATATATTCGCTGAGAGAAAAGTTACTCGAAGTCATCTTAGGAATCATCCCTTTCAAGGGTTTACAATATTTTTGGGATACTCTGTATAGCTGCCTTGTTCATTGCAGTAGTAATAGTAGAGCGGCGATTTCAAGAAAATGTTACCTAGTGTTGAATTTTGATGAAAAAGATGTTGGTGTACTAATTTCAACTAATTCAAATTATTAGATGAAGAAATAAAATTATACAGAAATAAAATTGATGCAGAAAATTTTTATTTTGCATAAAGATCTGCGGTCTAATAATAATCTGCATTAGAATCTTCTATAATTTGTGAAACGAAAGTACAATTTAAAGGATATTATTTCTTAACGTTAAAATAGCAAGGCTAGCCTTGTGTGGAACATGTTTCTATTTAGTTACGGAAAATGAAAGGAAGGATAGTTAAAGGAAGACGAAGTATGAATATGTACATTAAATCTTCCGAAGCGTCACATAGCACAATTTCTATCTTTTTTTTCAGCTCGAATGGGTCTGCGAAAATGCTTTCCTCGGCTCCGCAGCCCAGTCAGCCTTTTTCGTGGGCAGTATTATTGGCGGTTTGATATTTGGTTACATAGCCGACCATCATGGAAGAATTCCAGCGTTGGTCGCCTGTAATACGGTTGGATTTATCGCGTCCGTGGGCACGGCGTTCTGCAACAGCTTTTGGAGCTTCTGTTTAGCAAGATTAGTAGTCGGCACGTCGTTTGATAACTGCTTTAACGTACTTTTCATTATTGGTAAGTCGTTTTTATTTAACGCTTCATTTAACACTCGGCCGATTTGTAAATTGAAGCTCCATTCGCGATAAGACAGTGGAGCTTCTGGAGCTTCTGTTTAGTAAGATTAGTAGTCGGCACGTCGTTTGATAACTGCTTTAACGTACTTTTCATTATTGGTAAGTCGTTTTTATTTAACGCTTCATTTAACACTCGGCCGATTTGTAAATTGAAGCTCCATTCGCGATAAGACAGTGCAGATCAAAATTATAAGTTTACTTTTAACTTGTTTATTATCAAACTTGCAATAGAACTATTACTTTTACTTTTGCAGAGTCACGTAAAAATATATAAAAATAAAGTCATAAAATAAAATTTTCCAATATTCACACAGAAACAATGAATTATTGTCGTTTCCAGAAAGTTGCTATTCATAAGATGACTAAAATTATAAGTTCAGTTACAAGAAACTTTATATTTATAATATATTGATAACAAAATTTGGACAATTATTGGGTATTCCGCAGGTATCTCAACAACTTTTTACAAGTAAACAAACAAGTTTAATTACTTAACTGTTATCTGAAGGTTAAGAAAATGTCATTGAACAAAATAAGGATAATCCCGTCTAGTAAAGTTTGCATTGTTTAAATATTATATCTTTGAAGCTATCCCTGTAAATTCGCGGAAGATTTCGAACTACTTATATTACAAATCGAATTTGTAATAAAAATTCTATACAGAGAGAAACAAACATCTATGAATATTTTCACCAAAGATACGATTAAATATATTCTTATTTATAATCGCACTATAACTACGTTAATAAAAGTAACTACTGCATCTTGTACGTGTTCTTTCAGTGATCGAGTACGTCGGCCCGAAATACCGAACCCTTGTCGCGAACATGTCCTTCGGGCTTTATTTCGCAGCAGCTGCGAGTCTTTTGCCATGGATCGCTTATTGGATCTCCGATTGGCGAATTTTGAGCATGGCCACCGCCTGTCCCATGGTCGTTGCTTTCATAGGACCATGGATTGTCCCAGAAAGTGCACGGTAAGTTCGGCGAAATAAATTCATTTCATCTCCTCATAAGACGCATTAGATTATTTCAAATGCAGTGGAAGAACAAGGCATTGCAATGAGTTAGTTTTTTCTGACAATATAAGTTAAGGAGGTAAGTGTAGCATAAATTAACAGAAACCCCCCGACCTTTTACTTATTTCATTGTACATACTACAGTGAATACCTTTATCATCGATATTCGGGATTTTTTATGATCACAATTGATTGATAATAATGTGTCAAAAATATACAGGATGTCCCAAAATGTTATAAATTCCTGAATCGTCTTAATTTGAAATAACTTTCTCCTTAAGGGCAAATGTTTATTGCAGGTTTATTAAAGAGTTATTACGATGGATAGAATTTTACAATTTGGTATTTTGTTTACTACGATTCCACACCTGTTCTAGTCTGTGATATTATTACATAGTAACGACAAGTAACGACATCAATTTCAAGAAACGAGAGTTGACCAAAAATCTCTTCTCTTAATAGTTTTAATTATTTAGAAATAGCTTGCCTGTGTCCTTTTATTCTGTTGATGTTCTTCGTATTTTGTCGTTTTATTTTATCATTTTTCTCTCATAAATGCATAAAATCCGCACTTTAGTATTAACTTATTAAAATGATGTGATAAAGTACAACAATTTAATCTCCTATAATTTTATAAAAATGATTTCACCTGACTGTATTGTAAATCGATGTAGTGACAGATTGAATTGAGCTGGTTTACTGAAGTCACTGTCATTATTATTATCAAAAAATATTCATTTATTCATGTATACATATAATTTCTATGTTACAGTTGGTACATTACCAGCGGCAAAATCGACAGAGCGATCGAGATGCTGAAAAAGTTCGCAAAGGTGAATGGCAAAGAAGTGAAGCCAGAAATCTTCGAGGAGTTCGAGAAGAGCTGCAGGTCGATGATTGAGAAGGATAAATCGCATAACCAATACACCGTTCTGCATCTCTTCAAGAAGCCGAGGCTAGCTCGTATTACTATTATGCTCATTATTTATTGGTGAGTTTATTAAATTTCCTAATGCTTTGAATCGATCGAGCGATATTCCATTTGTGTACTGTATGTATACATATACAGTGGCCCACAAAACCTTCTAAAACATAATAACTTTTTCAAAACTGGACTAAGTGACTTGAATTTTTTTAGATAATAGACGGACTAGTATACTAAACAATGACCAAAACGTTTTTTTTTATTTTTCTATTATTTTGAATGACAAAAAAAAATAAAAAAATTTCGTTTTTTAACTTTTTTATCTGATCTTGTATAACGAGAATTAAAAAAATGCTTCTCGTAGATCTCGGTAATTTTTATGCATGCTGAAAATATGATCGAAATCGGTTGACGTTGTCATGAGTTACAACAAATTAAAGATGGCAAAAATCGCAGTTTTGTCACGATTTTAATTACAAACTGTAAGAAGTCTGCAGTTTTTAAAATCTTTCAACGCCTGTAGCTCGACTCTCGGTTAATCGATTTCGATCAAATTTTCAGCACGCATATAAATTACCGAGATGTACGAGAAGCATTTTTTTAATTCTCGTTACAAGGTCAGATGAAAAAGTTAAAAAACGAAATTTTTTTATTTTTTTCTGTCATTCCAAATAATAGCATTGTCCAGTATACTAGTCCCTCTATCATCTAAAAAAAAATTCAAGTTATTTAGTCCAATTTCAAGAAAGTTATTGCATTTTAAAAGGTATGCGAACACTTTTGTGGGCCATATATATCTCCCTGAAAAATAAGATGTCCCCGAAATCACAGTGCATGTAAATCTAAATTGCAAAATTTATAATATTTGTTCATTTAACATTTCTTTTTCGAGAAAGACGAATCTAAAAATTTAGTTAAATTTGGTTAATATGGATACTATCGAATGGAAATCAACTGACATGTGTCTTAATGACCGACCCATTCTACTTCTTGTACGCTTTAAGCATGCAAACTTGACGGATTGTCAATCTTGCTTTTTTAGAAAACAAAGCCTCAAACGAAAAATTGTTATCTCTTTCTTTCGACTTAGTTCTCCACATTTTGGAAACGCTCTGTATATAAAGTTTGTGCCCTCTATCAAACTATACTAACGTAACCCCTTACAATCGAATGGTAACTTTGAGGCTTTACTAAAAAAATTGTTGCATCACCTATAATAATAATTTTAAAATGATCAAATTTGTTTATATTTAAAAGACTGTTTAAAATGTAACTGTTTTATGTGATGTAAAGTCATATAAAATGAGAACACTGTAGGTCAGAAAATTAATTTCAGATTTATTGTTAAAGTGTCTCCGAGTACAAAGGGTTAATCAATCTATTTCCTCTACATGTTGTTCATACGAAATATAGTGCCCTATAAATAGCAATGTTGATAAATATACATATGTATTATAGATCTTGCACGTGACATATCACGATCACTCACGCGTGTGTTAAGTATCCAGGCTGCTGCGCCATCCGCTAAAAGAGCAGCAAGAAGCTAAAACTTAGCGATTGATCGGCCACGTGATTTGTTCGTTGTTTCCAGGCTTTTGATGGTGTGGGTGTTCGACGGCCATGTCTGGAACATGAAACTTCTCGACCCAGACGTATTCACATCCTTTTCTTTGGCCTCCCTGACGGAACTTCCCGCCGCCATTCTGCTCGCCCTCTTTTTGGACAGATGGGGCAGACGATGGATGGGCTTCGCCTCGATGTTCCTCTGCGGAATTTTCTCCTTTATCGCTATATCTACACCTCCTGGTAAGTTTTCGTTTCTTCATTTTCTCATTTTCTCGTTTCCTCGATTTCTCATTTTTTCTCATTTCTCATTCTCCATCTGTAACCGATGATTTCGTTAACCTAACACGTCTTCAGCAACATAAAAAACATGTCTTGATGCCATGGTCGTGCGCGTTCTAGTATGATCTCTTATGTTTCCAATTGCCGTGTATCTCGCTTAATGACAAAATATTTCCTTTTATTTTGCATCTATGTTCTGATGATAGGTTGTTACAAATTTTGATCCTGACATAACATAATCTAATTTATATAATATCGCATGTAGAACTTAAAGAATTTTTCGTACTTTAATTATGCAGATAGCAATAGAGATTGTTACGTATTCCTTTGCCACTCTTTTTTCCTATAAATCTCTATTTCTGCACTGTCTTTTATTTCCACTTTTCATGTTTTCAAATTCATTTTGATTCGAAACACGTGACCTAATCCAACGCAGATAGCTAGAGTCATACCTGACCATGTGATTCGTAGCAATAATACTATTGAATAGGAATCAACCGGCGCGTCTGATCATGGTCTATCTATTCTACTTAACGTCATGCTTCGTATAAGCCACGTGGATCTTCCAACTCAGTTTTCTCGAAAACAAGACTTAAATGAAGAAATGTTATCTTATTTCTGACTTATTTTTGCATGTAGAATAACCGCTATTAATAACCGCAAATATATTTATTTAAAAGTTTATTCATTTATCCGTTTAAATAAACATGTTCGTAATGTTTGAGCGGAGCGGAATGCCGTTAGCGTGTAGCAGCCCCTGAAACACTTTAAACTTTAAAAGCATTTCCATTCTCACTCAACACATTTTTTAAAATATCACAGTACCATTCAAGACAATGACCTTCAAAGCGATCAAGAGAAAAAAGATAAATAAAATGGTTGTACTTCCCCCTTAAAATTGAGTGACTATCGTATTTAAAATTTCTCCCGAAAATATCGTTTCTGAAACATTTAGATTTAACGTTTTCGAATGAATACCCTATGAATTGATGTTGCGATGCACAGAAATTAGCGCGCGAGTTTCTGTACCCATCCGGGATTGTAAGGATTGAATCGATCGCGGACGCGCTTTGATTCCTGTGTCGCTGATTAATTGTCCACCAAATTAATCTTGGGCAATTGGATCCGATTGGTGAAGTGGTGGTTGCGCGTACAATTATTGTAATCGTCTGTCCTCGATTACTGGAGGAAGATTGTCTCGAACGATGGATTTCGAATGATTGTTTTCTAAATGCGTCTTTCGAGATCGCGAGACCGTCGAATAAATTCTCTTCGGTACAAACCCGAGAAGCTAGTTATGTCCCCTGATGTCCCTTGGTCGCATATTTATTATAATAATCTCGGTAAGGGTGGGAGCGATACCTGCATGGACGTAAAATCTTCGAAGACCTTGGCAAGGTTGCGAGCTTCTTCCAGGTTAACCATCGGTAGCCTCGAATGCTGGTACGATTTCAGGATACCCTTCGGAAGTGCCAAGTTTATGACACGTCACGACTATTGAGAAAGACGAAACGGACGGTTGAACATCGAATGGTCGCCAAATGTTGAAAAAGTCTCAATCTCAAAAATAGCCTTTCGTCACGTCCGTGTCATAAACTTTGTCTCATAAACATGTTTTGTTCCGGAACACCCTATATATAATATTTTACATATAGAAGCGATTACGGTTACATTCTCAGGGTGTATATTCTGTACGCTGTTGACAGTTAAAGTTAGAGGGTTAATATTGGTGAGCGAGTCGATTCGGATCGAGGTTGCATTATGAGGTAGCCGCGTGCACCAGCGACGGAGTGGAACGCAACAAGGAATTTACATATTTCTCAACTTGTTCAAGGTGCACCAACGGTCACTATGGCGATCATAGCCCGTCTTGGAGTTAATATCGCCGCGAACATCGGCTTCCAATATGCGGCGGAAATGCTACCAACTGTGGTGCGGGCGCAAGGTGTGTCCTTGATTCACATCATTGGTTATTTGGCTCACATTTTGGGACCCTACATCATTTATCTGGTGAGCATGTAATTCTTTTAAAACTTTCGTTTCTTAAAATTCTGAATCAGATTTCATTATATGGATTATACTAGATTTCATCATCCTGGGATAACTATTCTATACTATCGTATACAGTAATATGTTAAATATATGAAAAATAAAATCTTAACGAATACATACGTAGTACTGTTCTACGTAATTATCTTCAAAGTATTGCTAAAAATACAATAATCACAACAACAAAAATATAAGTTGAATGTTAATTTTTGCCGCACGTGCACGATTAACGTGATAACATTGAAGGTAACTAAGGAAATAATTATAGAGTGTATTCTTTTCTATAGAATATCACCGGTTCGATGTAATTACACATCCGATACTTCTCGAGATTCTTATCGAAGATTTTATCTTGTGTTACTCTTTGTTCATATTGTCAAGCTCTTCAATCTACCCATTAGCAGCTATGTATTAAGTCTAATGTCTATGAAATTACACTCGTCTTGAGATTGGAACGGCTACTTACTCTTCTTTTTCTTAATCAAGGAGAAATAGATTTGCATTCGAGAGACAATAATTATCTCCTCAGAGTCGAGATGTCTTTGATCATGTTTTACATTTAAAGTTACAGTGATGAGGCACGTTATCCCGATCGCGATAAATATTTATCCTTTGCACTAAAAATAGTGACTCTATGGTGCTATTATTGTGCCGTAATTCAAGAGAATTTTGACATTATTTAATAAATTGCTAGAAATCATAAAATAAAAATCAATATTAAGAATGATAATAGTGGTGATAATAGTGATAATATATAATATAATGTCACTATTAAGTGAACAATAGGAGAAGACATGTCTAGGTGCAAAGGGTTAATCATTAATATGAAAACAATGTCACAGAAACATGAACTTGATTGACATTTTAGGCTGATGTCGATCCTGCTCTGCCCCTCATCACTCTCGGCTTGTTATCTTTCCTGCATGCATTCTTGACACTCGGCTTGCCAGAAACCTTGAACCAAGATTTACCGGAAACCCTTCAAGAAGGCAACGATTTTGGCAGGGATCAAAGTTTTTGGTGGATCCCCTGCATATCCTCGTAAGTAACATTTCTTATTTTTCCTGGATCATCTTGATTATTTTAAAGTAATTTTCTTCCAGTAGCCATATTGTAGCAAATATTTATCATACAAATTTTAATGATTTATACCATCCAACAATAAAAGACAACAAAATTTTCCATTCATTTTAAAAGGTCTAATTTTAAAAGGTGTATAATTTCGCACACATGATATAATATTTATAATATTTATTATAATATTACATTATATATTTTTAGTAACTAATGTAACATTTATCGATCTTCCTTCGAGCATCTGATCAATTATAAACAATTATTCCAATTATTGCATAAATTCTCAGTTTCTCCGAGAATTATACAGAGTGCGACCGAAATGTAGAACACTGAGGTTTAGTTTTGAAGAAATCGATTTCGAATATCATCAAAATTAAGCATCGAATGAACAACTTGTATTCTCTAATTCTTTATTATTTTTCAAGACATTACCCGGCTAACATATTGTTCGGCCATACCCAGTATAAACAGATATTACATATTTATAATTCGCTCTGTAAGTTTCGAGTGTTCAAGTTCTGTTATATTTTTAGGAGTGAGCCGCTGAAGAAGTCCCACCGGAAGAAGCAAGGTCTCGCAAATCCTGCGTTCGCCGGTAGCATACAGAAGATCGACTGTACGAGATTATAGCGATCGTTCGACAGTGACTGGCATCGATCAGTGAAACTTGCCAAATCCTCTGTAAATATAGTCATTAAAGAGTGTGAGTGTGATGTTACGTGTTAAAGTCTGCTGCGAGTGTGCTGATTGTGAAAAGTATTGGTAGACCCAGGGAATTACACTAGAAGAGACAAAAACGTTGAGATTCCTTGAGCGGATCTTGCTCGGCTAATAATACTGTCGGTATTAATAATATTAATTAATTAATTTATAAATATTGACAGCAGTGGTACTGATCGTGTGTAGGCAGCGACGATTGATCGACATTGAATTTCTTATTCCTGAAGCATCAATGACGTGAAGCGATGACTACTGACAGTTATTAGTACAATATTAACGGCGACTGCTCTGCGTTTTATGCATTTGTACTATACATAGATTATTTTACATTCCTTACGGTCTAAACATGCAGTCAGATTAATAAAGTATAATACTAATTTACTAAGTTTATAGTCACTTCCTACAAAATTAACTAATCCATTTCATGCATCGGGAATGAAATTGTATTCGGAACGAAGCTCGCTAATTTGAACAACTTACTACTCGCTATTGAAGAGTCAAGTGATATTGCTTGCTTCTCATTTCTCAATCGCTTACTTATGATGGAAATGCATAAAATTCGCAGCTCTGTGTAGAATTCGGTCAAGCAGATCAGACACACACGCAAGTTGTAAACTAGTGTCTATAAAAAACGAAACAAAACAAGGATCAAAAATAACAATTAGTCTTGAACTTTTTTTACAAGAAAATCGATAAGATTAGTTGAATTAAAAGGGATATTAACAAAATCTAGAGAAAGATTGTATCAGAATAACCACATAACTGAAATCTTTCGATCTTTAAACGATTTGATTACAAATAATAATTAGAAATAACCAAAAATTTATTTTATTACCGATTGTCATTATACATTGTACATATTATATAATAAGGAAAATCTGTTTCGGTTGTACATAATAGTCGTCGGTGGGAAAAATTTATTTCAGTAGCTCCAGGAATCAAAATAAGTTTCTTTCGCCGATGACTGCCGATTTATGCAAAATAAATATTGTCTTCATAATTGTAATGAGTCGAAAATAATATAAATCTTTTAACTGTTGTCCACTTGATTATCAACAATGGTTATGGATCATGAAAAAGACTTCTCAACCATATATATTTATTATTTTCAATCTCAGAAAGATTTTAGTAAAAGAAATAATTCTTATCCTATGACTTGTTTCATGTGGGTCCATAACAGTTATGGTCCTTGAAACAAAGTACAAAACCCGGTGAATGTTTCTATTTTATAGCTGCGCTCATATGACTACTCTATCAGTAGGTTTCATACTGAATATAGAACATACACGTCTATGTTGAGCAGAAATAGCGACAGTAGTACTGATAGAGTAAGGTTGCAAAGATAATGATGCGGTTTGTCTTTGTTAGTATTATTTAATCAATATTATTATTGTTGTTACTATTGTTATTATTATTGACCGTGTAAGGTCCGCTTTCAAAACTCTGTAGAAAGTCGATCGTTTCTTGCACGTGAAAAAAAATGTAATTTGAAACATCAATCGAAAAACCTATCGAACAGATATTTCATAGCTTTTTGTCTGGAAATGACCTGTCATCTGTCAGCATTTTTACATTTCTAATTGGAACATTGGTATTAAACTGCCGTAAATGTTGTGAACGAAATAATATCATTGTTCTTAAAGTTATGAAATATTATCCACCAGAATATCGTATATTTAGTTTCGTTGTGCTAATGCCAAGATTAAAAGTAAGCCTCCCGATTAATATTTGAAAATGGTTTAAAACTTCTGATAACCCTAATGTATCGAAAGTCGTGTGACTTTCTTCTACGATGTAGATGTGAATAAATTATCTCGTTAGAGTTGAAACGAATCATCGGCGAGACACTGTAGGTGTTACGAAACTCGAGCTGTCACCTGTCACGTTTACTGTACTGTAAGTAATGTGCAATTAATTTATATGGAACCCAAGCGGATCATAGGTTTGCGACATGTATTTCCGTGAAACGTCGACTCATTCGTTCCTGTATTCGCCATCAGTTACAACTGTTTTAACAATTAATCCATTACTCAACTTCAGAATACAAGGTGACCTATAATTCATGGTACAACTTGAAAGTTGACGATTCCGAATGAAAAAAAGGAAACGAAACTATACAATATGTAATTTGTTCAGTTTTAGTTGAATCTCACGTATTACCTGCAATTGACAAAATTACATACAAAACCAAAAGTTTTTAATTAAATATTTAGAAGACAAAGAGATATTAGTCAATAATTTTTGTACTTGATTAACACAATAGCTATCAGGGTCAGTTGGATCCTTAAATATCAAATCTCTATTTAAGTTGACAATTATTTCTTTTTCGTGACCCAACAGTTGTTAAATATATTGCGAAACTCTGTGCATTTATGTAACGTAAAAATCTGAAATAAGCTGATGAAATTTATAATCCTAAATAATTAATATACGGTATTGTACTATTGCACTCAATATTTCACTAAGTTCAAAATTCTTTTCTGTCTGCAAAACTGTAAATTTACACGAATATCCATGGCTAATAATATTGTTATTATAATAGGCATCCACGTTGAAATTTGAACTATTTTGAAATAGTTTGCTGCAACAATGACATAATACAAAATTTATAGTTTTAAAGTTGTTAATGCAGGAAGAATGGTTCTGGTGTATGCTTTTCATGTCAGAACACTTGTACCATTATTGCATCATCATATTTGATACAATGGAACAATTTCTATACTGACACATCTTGGTTGCATATGTAAAGTTGAAGCATAAACTATATTGAAATTGCAAGAAAAGTGTCATATTTATATTTTTTCTTTAAAACTAATGACATATTACTTGATGCATTACAAAATTTGAAAATTTGTGTAAATGAAAAAGCATGTTAACGAGATTTTGTTAGTAGAAAGATGTTATTTTTTGTCAACGATCACCATACTAAAAGTTTGGACACCACTTACGATATTGTTGTTTCTCTGAAGACAAAAAGTATTTTGTAACACACTCTTCACGATACGATAGTAAGGTTATTTGATTTGAATTAAGCTACTGATTTTCGTTCACGTTCACGATGATGATTTCAGGACCGTGTAGAATCGTATTAGAATTATTCGCGTACTTATCAGAGAAGTCCCCGCTTCTTGGCCCAGTGTAGATTATCCCGTAAGTTATACGATTTTTCCAGAGACTTGAAATTGAAATAATGTGAGTCAACGTTACCATGAATTACCTCGTTAATGTATGCGCTACATTGGACAGAAATTTTTAATCAATGTTATATTAAAGGTTTGCAAGGACTGATCTTTTCAGGTATTGCAATCTTTAAAAACAGCCGTAACGAAAATAGATACATATGTTAATATCTAACATAAGTAAGACATGTTCTAATACTCTATCGAGAGATTATTAGTGTAAAGTACCATTCAAGAGGATTTATGATTTTCGTGCAGGAAAGCAGAATACCAAATTTTAGAAAATGGAGCTTATTGTTGTGAATAATTTGTTGAACGAAATTGGCTAAAAAGTTGAAAATATATCATTCATTAATTACTAATTAACAATTATTTAATTCCACCTGATACACCGAGAAGAAATTTAATATTTACGGGAAAGCTTAACGGAGCTGAATTCATTCATGTAGATAATTAAAAAGATTTAAACTTATAGAAGTACACGCTTTTTACGGTAATATATTTTAATCTGAAAACAATGTTCCAAACACATTGAAAAATAAAACGAGCAAATGACCGAATTTTATTTTCTTGCAATTATTAGATCATTTAATGTGTCCCGTAATACAAATGAGGTATGCAGAATATACTCGATTTTCACTAAGAAACTGTGCGACATGGAAATAGTAGTTCTTATGTTTGGTCTGTGCTCGTACCTAGCCTATGGTGATTGATAAGTCTATGTACTTTTATTATACCTCGTCCGTACTTCTAACAATCAGCGTGAGATGTCAGTTTTGAGATGGAACCTAACCTAACCCGTGAATGAATAAGCGGCGCTGACGATAGAGTTTTGATTTTCGCCTATTCACGCCGTCTACACGTATAAACAATTTTTCTTGCTACAAAATACTACATTATTTGTAGTTACAGTCGAAAGAAGGATGAGTTCTGTAGGAACAGGGGTAAATATATAGTGTATTGATTTATAAAAATTCGCAAAAAGCGGAAACTAACCTCTATGGTGATTTCAGTATGATTTGTCCGCCTCTCAATTTTCACCTGACGGACGTGTATTTCAAGTAGAATATGCACAGAAGGCTGTTGAGAATGGAGGGTAAGTGTAACATTAATTGTGTTTCTCATTTCTAATTAATATTATATAGCAATGTCGTTATCTAACCTATTCAGAAGTTTTCTGTCATTTTGTATCTACTTGACGTATTTAGCTAGTTAATAGTCAACACAGATTTTTTCAATGGTATAGCTGTGGATAGTTATGCAATTTCACAATTTTAGAGACTAATTTATTGAAAAGGATCTCAAACAAAATTTGATTTCTGGTATTAAGAGTTTTATTCATAATGTACATAGTATTAACATTATTACTATTTTTATATCATTATATTGTCTATTTATCTTTAACACGTTGGCTGCCGTGGGGGTCACCGGTGACCGGCGACGCGACAAATAGTTAAAATACATAATTAGGGTAAACATCGATACTTATAAATTTTTAAATAATACCATTGTTTCTGTAATGCTTTGAAGAAATTAATGCCGTACAGAACATGCAAAAATAATTTCATTAATACAAGGAAAATATACATGTTATTTGTGCGCATAACGATGAAACACATTGAAACACGGTAGGCACAGAAAAGGTGAACCAGAACAGTCAGCACAATATGTCGCCACTTTCTTAGTGCAATTCTTTGCTCTCATTCTTCCTAGCTGTTTTGCATTTTTTTCATAACACAATTTGCAAAATCGCCTTATATTTCGCATACTTCCCGGTTCCCTTTTAAGTTCATGACGACGT